AAGTTGAGTTACATGCACTCATGCTTTGGCCAGCCACTCACGTGACCCAATTCCAAATAGGTCACAGCCTGGGTGGTGGGTCACAACCTGGGGGTTGGGGACTTCTGTTATAGTTTTATCAACAGACCAGCTCTACCCTTTCTTTGATCTGTGTGCTATGGATGGATTGGGCGTGGGTGTGCTAGGAACAATTTGTGAATATTGCTGTTAGAAGGCATAGGAACTGCACAAACAGTTCTTTTCTTTCATTTTTTTTTAAAATGACCCTGTATATCAATAATCTCCTCTGCCTAACTGCATGATCCCGTGAAAGAATCTTATTTTAATTATGACTCTGTTGTTTGGTTTTAAAAAAATAAATAAATAGAAAACATGTTTAGTTCTAATTACAGGGCAAAAATACAAATGTGGTGAGATACCACATACACACTGCTACATTTTTGTTAACTATTTCTTCTTCTTCTTCTTCTTCTTCTTCTTCTTCTTCTTCTTCTTCTTCTTCTTCTTCTTCTTCTTCTTCTTCTTCTTCTTCTTCTTCTTCTTCTTCTTCTTCTTCTTCTTCTTCACATTTTTGTATGATTAAAAATACTTTTTTTTTTTTGGTCTGTTCATGGAGACTGCCTGGACAGACCCCTGCAGTTTCTTGGCAAGGTTTTTCAGAAGTGGTTTCCATTGCCTCCTTCCTAGAGCTCAGAGAAAGTGACTGGCTCCAAGGTCACCCAGCTAGCTTTAAGCCAAAGGGAGAACTAGATCTCACGGTGGTCCCAGATCCTAACCTGGTGCCTTAACCACTACACCAAGCCAGTTCTCATTTTAAATTAAATATGTATGTGCCTTTTAATTCTGTATCGAATCAAGGGTAGGCAATGCCAATCTTCCCAGTGTATCAAGACACAGAGTATAACCAGCTGAATTCCTTAAAAACTGCTAGGTTTCTTTTACTGCCCAGTGTTAACCTTGATTTGTTACATGCTAATAAACAGCCTGTGGTATACAGGAAAGTCCATGGATTACAACCATAATTGAGCCCAAAATTTATATTGCTAAGGGAAACATTTGTTCAAGTGAGTTTTGTCCCATTTTACGACCTTGGGAAAGAAACTAGTGAGCAAAACCTGAGTGAATATTGTAACTATTGACCCTGGAAACAGGCTGGCAGGGAGCTCTGTTTTTTCCAAGCTGTTGCTGAATTCAAGGAGCATTTTCAGCTCTTTGTTCCATCTCTCCATCTTCTTTGGAATCCTTTAAAAAAAAGTCCCAGAAATTAATCAGAGGATTTTCTAGTGATTAGATAAGGTAGGAAGTGGACAAGCTTTGCTCTTGTGCCAAGAGAACTGGAGGAAAGCATGACAAATAGTTCATTGTCAGCTTCTTGTGAATTTCTGATAATTTTCTTTAAGCTCCTGCTCAGAAAAATTGGATGTGCCCCTTTTCTCTTCCCCCCCCCCTTCTCTTGTGTATTTTGTGACTGATTGTTTCATGAAATAAAGTGCCTGGCACTTTAAAACCAACTGAAATTTTTGGGGCCTTGCTCTCTTCCTCCTTTGCTGCCTTTAAAAACGTTTCTCCTTCCATTGAGATAACTGAGATACGGGTGGTCCTCAACTTACGACCACTGTTGAGTGCAAAATTTGTGTTGCTAAGTGAGACATTTGTTAAGTGAATTTTGCCCCTTTCCTGCCACAGTTGTTAAGTGAACCATAGCAGCTGTTAAGTTAGAAACACAGTTGCTAAGTGAATCTGGCTTCTCCATTGGCTTTGCTTATCAGAAGTTTGCAAAAGCTGATCACCTGAGCCCGGGACAGGGCAACCGACAGAAATATGAACCAGTTATATGTTGTTAGCAGATCAAGCTGCAACTAACTTGTTGTTTATGAAACAAAATACATTTTGTAATGTCAATAAGCCAGGGAGATGGTTGGCTTATTAATTAAGAAAGAAACAGAGACAGAGAATAATAGAGAAAATAAATTATAAGGGTAAATTAGTTTCTCAGAAGGAATGGATTAAGAAATCTTTTTTGGATTATTATCAAAAGTTATATAAATCTACTAATGTGCAAATTTTAGATATAAATAGATATCTAAGTGAGGTTAATTTCCCTAGATTGACAGAGGACCAGAAATATGAAATTAATGGGATAATTACTAAGGAGGAAATTGCGTCTGCAATTCAACAACTGAAATCAGGGAAAGCACCGGGCACGGATGGGTTAACAGCTGTTTATTATAAAGCTTTAATGGAGGAGATGATTCAACCATTAGGTGATCTTTTTAATGGTATTCTACAGGGTTCAGAGATCCCTCCTTCATGGCGTAGTGCCTTTATATCACTGATTCCAAGGGAGGATCAAGATCTTACTTTACCAAAGAATTACAGGCCTATATCTCTTTTAAATGTGGATTATAAGATATTTGTTAAAATTTTGGTAAACAGATTGATGAGGGTTGTGCCTTACCTTGTGCATAAAGATCAATCTGGGTTTATAACTGGAAGGTATATGAAAAATAATGTTAGACAAATTATTAATGTATTAGAATATTTAGATAAGAACAACCAAGTCTCTGCAGGGCTGATATTTTTAGATGCCGAAAAAGCATTTGATCAATTGAATTGGCATTTTATGTTAAGAGTAATGGAAGAGATGAATTTTGGTGAAAAGATATTACAAGCTCTTACGGTAATCTATCAAAAACAAACGGCGCAACTTATTGTTAATGGAGGTTTGTCAGAGGTTTTTACAATAGAGAAAGGTACTAGGCAGGGATGTCCATTATCACCATTGTTGTTTGTTTTAACATTGGAAATATTGTTGATTAAAATTCGAGAGTCGCAGGAAATTAAAGGAATAGAAGTTAATAAAAAAGAATATAAGTTAAGAGCCTTTGCGGATGACTTGGTTGTTACTTTGTCGCAACCTGTTCATTCTGCAGTAAAGTTATTACAGTTGATTCATTATTATGGTCTGGTCTCGGGTTTTAAGATTAATGTTAATAAGACTAAAATTTTATCTAAAAATATGACTAGTCAGGAGAAGCAGACTTTGGCTAACTCGACGGGTTTTGAAATTGTTAATAAGGTAAAATATTTGGGGGTGATGTTATCTGTTTCTAATGCAAAACTATTTAAAAATAACTATGAAAGGTTGTGGGCTAGGGTACAGAATGACTTGAAGAATTGGGAGAAGTTGCAATTATCCCTTATGGGAAGAATTGCAGTGATAAAAATGAATATTCTACCCAAGTTTCTCTTTTTGTTTCAAATGTTACCGATTTTGAAGAATGAGATTAATTTAAGTGAATGGCAGAAAGGCCTTAATAAATTTATTTGGGCAGGGAAAAAGCCAAGGGTTAAGTTTAAAATTATGCAAGACTTCCGCGAGAGGGGTGGGCTCAAGGTACCGAATTTGAAACTATATTATGATGCGGTGGTTTTAACACTAATCAGTGACTGGGTAAATTTGACAAATCCTGAGATACTTTACCTCGAGGGATGGGATTTACTTTTTGGGTGGCATGCCTATTTAATATTTAACAAAAAGATGGATTGGGTTTTTAAATCTCATATTTTAAGAATTTCTTTACTTAGGACTTGGAGAAAATATTATAAAAGTGATTTTAAAGTACCATTATGGGCCATAACTTGGCATGCGATAGAAGGAATAAAAAGAGGTGCTAAAATGGACATGGTGTCTTATAGACATTTACTTAGGTGGGATGGACAAAACTGGCAGTCAAAATCACGTGAAGAGTTAGCACAAGAAAATATTATTTACTCTTGGTTTCAATATAGGCAATTAGCAGATAGATGGAAGGTGGATTGCAAGGTGGGCCTTCTTAGAGAAGATGAAAATTTCATTAAGCAAGTGAAGGATCAAAGACAAGCCCACACTAAGAGAATTTATGGGGTTTTAGTTGAATTGGACTCAGAAACGGAACTAATTAAAGATTGTATGATTAGATGGGCGCAGAATTTTGGTGAGCCAGTTCCATTGGACACCTGGGAAACTATTTGGGTGAGAAATGTCAAATTTACACAAGCACAGAATTTAAGGGAGAATTTCTATAAAATGTTTTATAGATGGCACCTTGATCCACAAAAAATGTCTTTTATGTACCCTGATCTACAACCTAAATGTTGGAGATGTGGGTGTATGGATGCTACTTATTATCATATTTGGTGGTCGTGTAGAGAGATAAAAGCATTTTGGATTAAGATATGGTGGAATATCCAGAGAATTTTTAAAAGGAGGGTAAAATTTACTCCGCAATTATTTCTGTTGGGTATAGTTACTGATTGTGATACAAAGGAGGTTATATTGATGTTAAATTTGATTACAGCCGCGAGGCTGTTAGTTGGACAATATTGGAAGAAGGAATCTTTGCCTACATTGCAGGAATGGTTTCTTAAAGTGTCTTATTTGGCGGAAATGGCAAAGATTTCGGCTTTCTTAAAGCAACAAACGCAAGAGAAATTTCTTGCTGTTTGGGATAAATGGATAAAATTTATACAGTTTAAAATGGATATTAAAAATATTATATAGCTTTTTCTTAATTTTTATTTTTATATATATACATATATATTTTAAAGTATAATTTTTTTGATTGTTTTTTAATTAAGCCTATATTCTGCTCTGGGAAGCTCGGGGGGGGAGAAGGGGGGGTGTTTGCGGGAGGTTGGGGAAGGGAGGGTTTGTTGTGTAATGTTTAGGTTTTTTTTTGTATATGTTTTTTGTCTTTGTATTGTTTTGTTTTTTTTCTTTTTCTTTTGTAAAATTTATAAAACTTTTAATAATAATAAAAAAAAAGAAATATGAACCAGTTGCCAGGCACCCAAATTGTGATCATGTGACCATGGCGATGCTGCAACGGTGGTAAGTGTGAAAAACGGTCAAAAGTCACTTTTCGTAAGTTTGAATGGTCACTAAACGAACCGTTGTAAGTCGAGGACTACTTGTATAAGAAGGTAATTCAGAATGTCTTCAAAATAGGGGGCCAGGAACAGTTAGGGAGCCAGAGAGCCCCGGGGGGGGGAGGCTTTAAGGCTGCGGACCTTCTGGACCTCCGTTTAGGCTGGCATTGAAGGCAAGCGGAGGCAGCAGGCGGAGCAGGCAGGGCTCATTCCGAACGTCTAGCCTGGGACCCGGGGCAGCTCCTTCGGACTAACAGACTGCCTGCTAGCTAAGCACTCGGAGCTGGCAGCCTGGCGAGCGAGTCTGACTGCTGCCAAAAAGGCCACCCCCATTTCTCCTCTGCCGCTTGCCCTTCCCGGGACGGTCCCGCGCGCTCTCTCGCTCGCCTCCTGCGGACGAGGCAGTGGCTTCCCGACTGAGGGAGATGGAGGAGCCCCGCTGGGCGGAGGCGCTGCCGAAGAAGCGGAACCCGGGCGACGGGGAGCGAGGGAAAGGCAAGCGGGCCGGGGAGGGAGCAGGTGCCGCGGGCATCGCGCCTCTAGCAGAAGGCGGCTCTGCTGCAAGCCGCCCGGCGGCGGAGAGAATGCGGGAGGAAGGTGAGGGCCAAGGGCGAGGAGGGGATTCCTCGAACGACGCCGTCCGGCCACAACGGCCCAACGGCTGCAGCATAGCAGCTGGACAGGAGGAGGAGGAAGGCTCCGCAGGACAAGGCGGGCGGCCCACCCGAGCTGGCTCGGCCCCAGGTGACAATGTCTGTCTCTCTGCTCCGGGGCAAGAGGTGGTCATGTTGAAAAGAAGCGGGGCGGAAGATCTGCAGCCCTCTGGAGAGCCGAGCGGCTCCGCCGAAGCCCTGATGGGGGAACTCTCCGAGATGGTACACAGGGCGGTGAAGAGCAGCAGCTGGTGGGAGAGGCACGGCGTGGATGACACCATTATCGCTCTAAACCTGCTTAGCCTACCGCTGGGTAAGGACAGGGTCCTCACCAGACGCCAATGGCCCGTGCTGGGTGGGCGGGAGAAAGCCCTACCATTCGCTCCACCTTGTTTCTACTCTGGCCCTCGGGAAATCCACTCTTGTCCTTAAGCTGCCTACAAACGCGGTGGGTCCTACTCCCGGTACGGAGCGGGGGGGGGGGCTGTCACCTTGCCAGAGAAGGCAAGGATCGAAGCGTCTCTGGTTGTCAGAGAGGCACGTTTAAGGCAGGCTTGCCTTGCAACAGCCCCTTAAGGTAAGGGTTGTAGTAGGCAAAAGACCGACTTGCTGAGTCGGTGCCTGTGTAGAATATGATGTAAGGGGGGGGGGAGCCACCGAGGAAAAATAACAAAGCACGTGGCGGCACCGTAAAGGGTAACACGTTCATTAATGTACTGCAGAACTTGGCACACAAAGGGACTGATTCATGTGTGTGTATGCAGGGGAAAAAAAGTGTTAGTCTTAAGATCTGACAGCATCCTTTGTTGCTTTTGTAGGAAAATAATGATAGCACAGCTACTCTTTTGGAAACTAGGAAAGTAATTAAAGCATGTAATTCTGATGACTGATTAGCATCTAGAAGTGAAATCTTGTCCTACTTAAAAGTTGTTTTGGGAATTTTCATGTAGCAACATGACTTACTAGTACCTGCTGTGCAATAGAAAAAAGGCTGTTTCTATACACCTATAAAAAAGGAGCCAGTATGAGCCCTGCTCCAGTGTTGCTATAATTGATAATGGAACAAAATAGATCCTTCAACCTTGTAAAACAGACTGGGTTGAGAATGATTAGCTGGGTAGAGAGTGCCCCACTTGCTGAGTGGAATTTGAACTTGCCTTAAACCTAGTGGTTTAAGAATTGTTCTGCATGACAACACTAAGGTGCTGTTTACTAGTATAAGACAGCAGGAAAGAATGCCAGTTTAAGGAAATTCTCACTGCATTTCCAACTCGTACTGTTGTCTTGGCAATGGAACAGACTAGGTGTTTTGATCACACCAGAAGTAGGGAGGAGTAGGGAACACCAGTAACTGGTTGTAGGGGAGTCTGCTGGGATCATTCCCTGGAATTGGAGAACTGGAAAAAAGGAAGCTTTTCTTCATTATTCTTTCCTTCTTCTCTTGCTGCCTGGTGGGGGAAAAGGGAAAAAGCAAATATTTTTAGTTTCCTCCTGCAGGGAAGAAAGTAGGAGGAAAGTGCCATGATAAAGTTACCCAAGGGTTCTGGCAGAAGAGCTCCAGGGACTGCTTTAATTTGGAAAACTTCACTCACCCACAGGTGTTCTGTGGGCTCCCTGCTGAAGCTGCCTTTGATTTTTTTTTCTATGAAGAAGTTATGACCACAATTCTATGTGAGTCATTTCACTGTGGTTTCATAATGAAGCAGCCCATGTTTTCCTTGAAGATCTGCTAGAAACAGTGTTTCTCAACCTTGACAATTTTAAGGCATGTGGACTTCAACTCCCAGAATTCCACAGCCAGCAATGCTGGCTGTGGAATTCTGGGAGTTGAAGTCCACATGCCTTAAAATTGTCAAGGTTGAGAAACACTGTGCTAGAAGATCTGACAGTTATGTGAGAAGGACTATTAGAACTGGCAGATCTGTGGAGAAGTCAGCACAGAACTTTTTTAGCCCTGTGGGGAAGCAGTGTTTTGTACATCTGTCAACACTCTGCGGGTGGACCCCTGGACATTTTTCAGCTTAATGTGAATCTGTGGTGTAAGGAGACCAGAGACAACAAGCATGGCCCTCATGTCTTCAGTGTGGATGTATCAAAGCTGTGGGGTTGGGACTAGATATCCCCCAGGTGCAAGAGCTGTTCTTGAAACATGTCATTGGTCTTTTGTTGACACATGCCGTATGTCCAAAAGTCTGCTGGCTCACTACTCGACTGATGTACTAAGAACTCCTGCTTTAGTGCCGGCTATACTGAGGTGGCAGGCAGTTGTACTGCTGGGAGAGCACCCAGCAGGAAACTTCTATGGAGGGAGGAGAATCAGATCTTTTTAATGCGAAGGATAGCTGGCCTCTCAAAGTCTCCTCTTTCTTTCCTGCACCCCATCAGTTAGGAAGAGAAGTGGGAGATATGGGTATTTGTCTCCCTGTCAGAAAGTAAATGACTCTGAAAACCAGAGGTCAGGGTGTGGGAGGGAGAATGGCCAATTCGAACAGAGTAGGTGCCTTTCTCTGAACTTTGTTTAGAATTATTGGCTAACCACTTGGCTCTGCTTGTGCCAGCAAAGTATGAAAATACTGGTTTTTTTTTACAGAGGAGCCTGTTGTTCGTCCATCGATTTTGATGAAGACCTTGACATCTTGTGGGTTATGGGCCATCAACGATGTGGCCTGGAGGAGGGAGGTTGGAGGACAATGCAATGCATTCCAGTTGAGAAATTGCACGTGGGCCATCCTCACACCAGAGCAAGCAGGGCGGATAAGCCCTAAGTATCAGTGTGCTGTGGGAGTAGTACAGTTGATCTAAGATGATAAGACAGGGATGATTAATCACTGAATATTTCAGAGTATTTTGCTGTGTAGTCCTAAACAGTGAAACTCTAAAATGTTTCTCTTTATGTCAGAAAGGTCTGCAACAGGAATGCAGGGAAGAAAAGCATGAAGGTATAACTTCCCCAGTGAGCTTTCCTAAGGGCAGTTTTGAAATGCTTTTCTTTTCTGAAGCACTCATGAAAACAGAATACCTAAAATGCATTTGACAGGAGCAAGCTGTCTCAGTGAGTCACCCAGTAACAATCCATCTGAATATTATGTACAGTATATGACAGCCTTCTCCAATCCGGTTTCAGGCAGATATATTGGTTTGTAGCATCTTTTGGCCATAGCCAACATAACTGATAGGAATGCTGATAGGAACGATATGTACCATGGCCCAATTCGTATGAGAAGATATGAGGGTTAGGGAAGGTGAAATACAGAACCCCAGACAATTATGTCTATGAAATTAGAACTATTCTTTTCAGACAGCCTCTGGAAACAAACTATTTTTCTTTATTTTCTGTGTCAAATTACTCAGATTTAGTAGGAGGGCCCCAGTTCTGATTCATGCTACCCTTTCATGTATCTCCATTGGAAACCTTGGGTTATCACAATCTTTTGGCCTTGCTTATTTATGTGGCATGTTCATTTTGAAGACAAAAGTAGGATAATGCAATAAGTTCCTTGAAGAAAGAGTAGGGCAGATATATGATATACATGCCAGATTCTCCTGTCTCTTGAAAAAAAAAGTGGCTATCATTTTCTCTGAAGGTATCTTATATGATTCATTTGATTTATGATGAAGAGATTGACAGCTAGGGAGAAGGGTGGCTGTTTAATAAAATGTTTTGCAGCTATAAATATAGCAACATTATGCTGTGCTATAAGATGAACCCTGGTCCTTCAATTATTCCTAGTCTGGACAAATATCCATTGAGACTATTAGTGGAACAAAGTGCCTGTGAATGGATCATTCCACTAACATTGGGCTAATCATATTGGATGCAAGTCATGCCCTGCAGATATACACTATTTTTGTATTGAAGGTATCAGGCTAATACTTTCAAAATATTAGATTAGAACCAGATGTGATAGCAGATCTGTAAGAGGCTGAAATATGAAATTATTTCTGTCATGTCATATTATCTGCTTTCATCCTAGAATGTGACAATGCCACCTTATCTCAGTGAATGGTTTTGCACAGACAGAGATAGTCATAGTGGATGTTCTCTAAATTGATAGATCAACCAGAATAAATACATCATAGTCCCTAAAGCAGGGGTCTTCAAACGTGGCCCTTTTATGACTTGTGGACTTCAACTCCCAGAATTCCTCAGCCAGCGTAATATTGTGAGTGCAATAGCACTTAGACTTATATACCGCTCCATAGTGCTTTTCAGCCCTCTCTAGGCAGTTTACAGAGTCAACCTATTGCTCTCAATAATCTGGGTCATCATTTTACCAACCTTGGAAGGATGGAAGGCTGAGTCAACCTTGAGTTGATCAGGATCAAACTACTGGCAGTTGGCAGGGTTAGTCTGCTACACTGCATTCTAACCACTGTGCCACCATGGCTCTTTGGTGCACACAAATACACAATCAAACCTTGGAATTCACTACTGGAAGATGTGGTGCTGGCTACCAGTTTGACTGGCTTCAAAAAAAGGTTGGACCAATTCATGGAAGTCATGGAGATCACCCATGATGGCAGTGTGGCTGTCTCTAAAGGCTTATAGTGGGCTTCTTTGCTTGGGCTTCCTTGCTTGGTTGGCCATTCTGAGAACAGACTGCTGGATGAGATGGGCAGAGGTCCCATCCAGTAGGACACTGCTTATGTTCTCATGTGCCAAGAAAATGTTCTGCCTCTCTCCTGTAGCTCTGAACTAAATCTAGTTATCAAATTATATTTGTAAAGACTACCATGGAAGATGATAAATGACATGAATCTGGACTGCATTGTTGCCTTTGCTTATATCTGGAAAGATTCTAAGTGCTTCTTTTCCATTTCCAGGATTCCTGCTTCTACGTTCCAGTAATCCTTTTGTGTTCCTGGTGGGCATTGCTGTCCTGGGTGTGGTCCATCATACCCTCGCTGTGAAGGCAAGCCACTTGGCTACCCACAATGCTCTGGTGGAATCCAAATCGTGGGGGAAATTATGGAGCATATTCTTCATTGAGGTTTGTTTTTAGCTAATCCCATTCTCTGAAAGCAGGACAAGACTTCTGTGGGTATGTGATATACATCCAAAATGAAAAATTGACACAACCTGCATAAATTACAATAGCTAAACCAAACAATCATATGCATTATTTACTGTATATACTCCTGAAATTATACAATTTATGATTGTTTATGATCATATTTAACAAGAAAGTGGAAATGGCCATTTTGAAACATGCCCATCCTGTTTTTCAAGTTTTAATATAGTTCACTATCAATGTTTCACTGCAAAATTATTTGGAAATGTTTGGGGATATTGCCAGATCCACACAACCCAAAGTGCAATGCTTTCCAGATTTGGTTTTTTCTTAGATACTGTGGGAGAGAACAACTAGCTTAATATTTCATTGGTTCATTGCTTGTGTGAATGCAGTAATGATAAAGTAATAATGCTAGCAATTAAATTAATTGTGGCTACTTAAAATCAAAGAGATGATGGCAGTTATCAAGTTGATTAAATCTGCAATCTAGGACTTTTAGCAAAAGGCATCTTATTTATATTGTGAAGAATATTAATAGTTGGCACCTGATGTTGATATTGTTGATATTCCATAAATACACGGTTGTTATTTGGACATAATGCCTTAGGAACATAGAAGTTCCTTTCATGTTAAATAATTAAATACGTCAATTATGGTATATCAGTAATCATAAATCTTATTTTGGGTCTAATAAAGTTTTCGTTCCCTCTTTATTGGATGGATAATTGCATTAATATATTTGAAAATCCCCTTTATGGATTACTGCCTTGACGTGGCGAAGGGGCTTGCGTAACTCAATGAAGCTATAAGATATGCCATGCAGGGCCACCCAAGACGGACAGGTCATAGCAGAGAGTTCTGACAAAATGTGATCCACTGGAGAAGGAAATGGCAAACCACTCCAGTATCTTTGCCATGAAAACCCCATGGACAGTACTAAAAGGCAAAAAGATATGACGCTGGAAGATGAGCCCCTCAGGTCAGAAGGTGTCCAATATGCTACTGGGGAAGAGCAGAGGGATAGTACTAGTAGCGCCAGAAAGAATGAAGCGACTGGGCCAAAGCCGAAAGGATGCTCAGCTGTGGATATATCTGGTGGTGAAAGGAAAGTCCGATGCTGTAAAGATTTTTTCTCCATAGGAACCTGGAATGTAAGATCCATGAATCAAGGGAAGCTAGACAGTCAAAAAAGAGATGACAAGACTGAACAGCGACATCTTAGGAATCAGCGAACTAAAATGGACAGGAATGGGTGAATTTAATTCAGATGACCATCAGGTATACTACTGTGGGCAAGAATCCCTCAGAAGAAATGGAGTAGCCTTCATAGTTAATAAAAGAATAGGAAAAGCAATACTGGGATACAATCCCCAAAATGACAGAATGATCTCAATTCGAATTCAAGGCAAACCATTCAATATCACAATAGTCCAAATCTATGCCCCAACCACTGGTGCTGAAGAGGATGAAATTGACCGGTTCTATGAAGCCCTACAGCACCTTATAGAATTAACACCAAAAAATGATGTCCTTATCATCATGGGGGATTGGAATGCTAAGGTAGGAAGCCAAAAGATAACTGGAATAACAGGCAAGTTTGGCCTTGGAGTACAAAATGAAGCAGGGCACAGGCTGATAGAATTTTGTCAAGAGAATTTGATGGTCATAACAAACACTCTTTTCCAACAACCCAAGAGACGGCTCTACACATGGACATCACCAGACGGTCAACATAGAAATCAGATTGATTATGTGCTCTGCAGCCAAAGATGGAGAAGCTCTATACAGTCAGTAAAAACAAGACCAGGAGCTGACTGTGGCTCAGATCATGAGCTTCTCGTTGCAAAATTTAGGCTTAAATTGAAAAAAGTAGGGAAAAGCACTAGGCCACTCAGGTATGAACTAAATCATATTCCTGATGAATATACAGTAGAGGTGACAAATAGATTTAAGGAATTAGATCTGATAGACAGAGTGCCTGAAGAACTATGGATGGAAGTTCGCAACATTGTACAAGAGGTAGCAACTAAAACCATCCCAAAGAAAAAGAAATGCAAGAAAGCAAAATGGCTGTCTGAGGAAGCTTTGCAAATAGCTGAGGAAAGAAGGGAAGCGAAAGGCAAAGGAGAAAGAGAAAGATACACCCAATTGAATGCAGAATTCCAGAGAGTAGCTAGAAGAGATAAGAATGCCTTCTTAAATGAACAGTGCAAAGAAATAGAAGAAAACAACAGAATAGGGAGGACCAGAGATCTCTTCAAGAAAATTGGAGATATGAAGGGAACGTTTCATGCAAAGATGGGCATGATAAAGGACCAAAATGGCAGGGACCTAACAGAGGCAGAAGAGATTAAGAAGAGATAGCAAAACTACACAGAAGAACTATACAAGAATGAGCTTAACGTCCCAGATAACCACAATGAGATGGTCACTGACCTCGAACCAGACATCCTAGAATGTGAAGTGAAATGGGCCTTAGAAAATCTGAGCAACAACAAAGCTAGTGGAGGTGACAGTATTCCAGCTGAGCTATTCAAAATCTTAAAAGATGATGCAGTAAAAGTGCTACACTCAATTTGCCAGCAAATTTGGAAAACTCAACAGTGGCCACAGGATTGGAAAAGGTCAGTTTACATTCCAATTCCAAAGAAAGGCAATGCCAAAGAATGTTCAAACTATCGCACCATTGCACTCATTTCACATGCTAGTAAAGTTATGCTTAAAATCCTACAAGCTAGACTCCAGCAGTATGTGGATCGAGAACTACCAGAAGTACAGGCAGGATTTCGAAAAGGCAGAGGAACTAGAGATCAAATTGCCAACATACGCTGGATCCTGGAGAAAGCTAGGGAGTTCCAGAAAAACATCTACTTCTGCTTCATTGACTATGCAAAAGCCTTTGATTGTGTGGATCACAACAAATTGTGGCAAGTTCTTAAAGAGATGGGAGTACCAGACCATCTCATTTGTCTCTTGAGAAACCTATATGCGGGTCAAGAAGCAACAGTGAGAACTGGACACGGAACCACTGATTGGTTCAAAATTGGAAAAGGAGTCCGGCAAGGCTGTATACTGTCGCCCTGCCTATTTAACTTATATGCAGAGCACATCATGAGAAAGGCAGGGCTAGATGAATCAAAAGTTGGAATTAAGATTGCTGGGAGAAATATCAACAACCTAAGATATGCAGATGATACCACTCTAATGGCAGAAAGTGAAGAGGAACTAAAGAGCTCTTGATGCGGGTGAAGAAGGAGAGTGCAAAAGTTGGCTTGAAACTCAACATTAAGAAAACCAAAATCATGGCATCCGGCCCTCTCAATTCCTGGCAAATAGATGGGGAAGAAATGGAGGTAGTGACAGATTTATTTTTCTGGGCTCCAAGATCACCTCAGATGGGGACTGCAGCCAAGAAATTAAAAGACGCTTGCTCCTGGGGAGGAAAGGTATGGCAAATCTAGACAGCATACTAAAAAGCAGAGACATCACCCTGCCAACAAAAGTGCGTATAGTCCAGGCCATGGTTTTCCAGTTGCAATGTATGGCTGTGAAAGTTGGACCATAAGAAAGGCTGAGCGACAAAGAATTGAGGCCTTTGGACTGCAAGGCATTCAAACTGGTCAGTCCTAGAAGAGATCAACCCCGACTGCTCTTTAGAAGGCCAGATCCTGAAGTTGAAACTCAAATACTTTGGCCATCTAATGAGAAGGAAGGACTCACTGGAGAAGGGCCTAATGCTGGGAAAGATTGAGGGCAATAGAAGAATGGGATGACAGAGAATGAGATGGCTGGATGGAGTCACTGAAGCAGTAGGTGTGAACTTAAATGGACTCCAGAAGATGGTAGAGGACAGGAAGACCTGGAGGAACGTTGTCCAGGGGGTTGCGATGGGTCGGACACGATTCGCAATTAACAGCAACAAATTTGAAAATCTTTTCTTCCTTTCTCTTGTTAGGTCATAGAAAGTAATGAAATTAGTACCACAATTGGCAAAAGCTAGTTTTGTTGTGTTTTTGCAAGCTAGTAGAATTGGGAATATTTAATAGTTTTAAATGTTATTTTTAATTATGTATAAGAAGCTGAATTGCACATCACAGTAAAATGGAACTAAAACTGGCATTGTGCTGATTAGGGGATTTCTGTACCACTGAAGGACAAACAGTTGGAACAGCTTGAACTAAAGCAATGTCTCCAGTCAACAATCAATAATCTATTTTCTTCTCAGCAGTATTCCAAGGAAGTCAAGAATAATTTTTTGCATGTAGATCATAGGGGATAATTACATTTTTATTCTTTGTCTAAAAAGAATGAGTGGGAAATAGCCAGCATACATACCCCAAGAAATGGCAATTCTTGAAGGAAAAAAAAAATGTATTGATCCAGTAATGCACTGCACTTTGAAATGAGTGTACTGAAAAGGACTGAATGGAGAGTATTTATACATGATCTCCTGATTCATTTTAGGAAGCTCTTTTATTGACAAGTGCTTTTGATTCTCTATCAAACAGAGAGGATATTTCTGGTCACAATTAGTATAACTCAGGAGTCTTCAAACTTGGCCCTTTTTTGACTTGTGGACTTCAACTCCCAGAATTCCTCAGCCAGCATGCCTGGCTGAGGAATTCTGGGAGTTGAAGTCCACAAGTAATAAAAGGGCCAAGTTTGAAGAACCCTGGTATAACTGAATGACCTTCAGAGAACTGAAAATACTTCAGTGCTTATTTTATATTTCCAAACTTCTTGTGTTTTGGAGTAATATGGGGGTATTAAATGCCTTCCTACACAAACATGTGAGATTCTGCAGTAGAAGAGAGCAACTTTGGGGAGCTTTAATTGGAAAAAAAACTTCTGAATCTGTTTCTGTGGCTCTCAGTTGATGCTTTTCTTGCACTGAGGCAGGTTTGTCAGAAATGGCTGACAAACCACAGGTAGTCCTTGATTTACAACAATTCGTTTAGCAACTGTTTGAACTTACAATAGCACTAAAAAAAAGCGACTCACAACCAGTCCTCACAGTTACAACCATCGCAGCATCCCCAGAAGCACATGATTAAAATTTGGGTGCTTGGCCACTGGCATGTAGTATTTACAACTGCAGCATCCTGGGGTCCTGCGATCACCCTTTGCGGCATTTCCAACCTGTTTCTGGCAAGCAAAGTCAACAGGGGAAAGTGGATTAGCAAACACGTGATTCGCTAAACAACACCATTCGCTTAAGTGATTAGTTAACTGTAACAAAACTCCAGTGATTAGTTAACTGGAACAAAAAGGTTGTGAAACCAGTGTGACTCACTTAATCTCTTTACTTAGCAGCAGAAATTCTGGTCCCAACTGTGGTTGTAAGTCAAGGATTATCTTATAGCATGGGTGTCAAACTCGCCATATCACATGACGTATCATGACTTTTTTTGCATTGCCGGAGCTGGGGTGGGTACGGCCTCCGTATGATGCAACTGACTCACAGGCCGGCAGTTTGACACCCCTGTCTTATAGCAGGGTAGGCATTCTGGTAGTGATTTTATGTGTGAATTTCATAGAATTGTAGAGTTGGGAGTGGCTGTTTTGATCCTCGGGTCCAATCTCCTACTTAATGTCGGAATCCAAATTAAACCATCCTGGACAAATGGCTCTGTATGTAGTCCCCACTTGAACAGATATAGTGAAGGCAGCCAACACCTTTCTACATGATTGGTTTCGTTTTTTATTTGCTCTTACTTCTTCTGTAACATTTAATCATAATCTGTACTGTAACTCCATTATTCTGTGCCTTCGAATCTGGAGTGAGAGAGAACAAGCCTTGACCTACTTTGATCGGACATACTTGTGGATATCTGAAAAGCATTATCTTGTGTTTGCCTTTTCTCAAGACTAAGCAACCACAGTGATATTTCTCTTCATAAAGCGACGTTTGAGTCCTCTCATTATCCACATATTCTCTAAACCTTCTTTGAATGCTTTTAAAGTGTGGTGCTCCGAACTGGATACAGAAATCCAGATGAGATCTGTCCAAACCAGAACAAGGTGGAACAATTACATCTCATGATTTCTAAGTTATACTTCTAATTATACTTCCCTTCAGATCCATCTAGCATGGCCAGTGGCATTAGTCTGTGGAAACTGTACCAGAATATCTAGAGAGTAACAAGTTGATCACTTCTGTGATGTATATATGTTTTATGTATAATTGGATGACATAAGCTGAGTAAATGTCTCCATTGGTACATTATGGACGCCTGAAGGTGGCTTATCCCATCATACACCTGTTTAAATCAAATGCCCTCTTTAAATCAAATTAAATGATTTGAAGATTTATACTGTTATCAACATTGCTTTAAAACCATCACACTCTAACAAACAGCAATCAAATTTAGGAGTGCAACTTTAAAGATCTTCATTTGTATGGTCTGCTACAGACTTCCTCAACTTGGTTCCTTCCAGCTACCATATTTTGGAATGCAACTCTGACTGCTAAGTGTTATGGAGGAATTCACCATTTTTTGGGTGAGGGGAGCTGTATTCTAACACAGGGGTTCCCAACTCCTGGTCTGTGGACTGGTACCGGGCCACAGCATGCCAGCAACCGGTCTGCACAAACAAGCAAAGCCCCATCCATGGGATGCAGGCAGCACACAAAATCACGCATTGTCCGGTCCGTGGAAAAACCTTTCTCTACGGAATCGGTCCCTGGTGCCCAAAAGGTTGGGAACCTCTGTTCTAACACATCTACTGAATATCATAGATATAAAGTACCATATACATATGGAGGTAATTGCAGTGTTCTTTATTTACCATTTCTTTCTGTCCCAGGTTTGCTCCGCTTTCACAGCAGAACGAGGGTCCTACAACCATGTAAAAATGCACCACGCTTATACAAACGTCATTGGCCTCGGGGATTCCAGTACCTGGAAGGTTCCTTTCCTGAACCGTTACGTTTATATGTTCATTGCACCTATTGCTGTACCTATCATAACTCCTTTAATAGCCATTGGTATGTTACTGTCCTCCGAATCCTCCTACTAATCAGCATACCCTTCTCTTCATTAGTTTTACAGTGTTAATGTTGAATGCAATTACATCTCTTCGTTAATATTGACTGTTGTTATAGCTCACTCTATGTGGAATTCTGCCTTTGAAAGAATCAGAGAAGTAGAATGAATAAAGATAATGCCAGCAGCCTAAACCTTCTTCCATGAGATAAAGCTATTGACCCAGCAGCTTGCAACACAGATTATATGATGTGTTATTGGATAAGTGCTTCCCCCAAATCCCTCTGCTCTGGTTTAATTTAAAAAAAATATACTAAAAAAAGGGTAGATTTTGAAATATTACAATCGGGCCTCTGGATTTATATATACATACATACATACACACAGAGAGAAAGAGAAAGAGAGAGAGAGAGAGAGAGAGAGAGAGAGAGAGAGAGAGAGAGAGAGAGGGAGGGAGGGAGGGAGGGGGAGAGAGAGAGTGGGAGAGAGGGAGAGAGAGAGAATTTCATCAGAGAATGAGCACTGGGGAAAGCGGCATCTGATCCTTTCTCCTGAAAAATTAAATTCTTCCCTCCCCCAAACTACAATGTGTGTCTTAGAAGGGAAATCCTTTATTTTTCTCTCTTGGGAGTTCCATCCATCAAAAAATAGCCTAAAGGACAATTCTAAACTCCTCCTTTCAAAGCACCTTTTCTTGAACATTTAAAACTTTGTAGCCCTGATCTAAATCTAAAAGAACGGAGGAAGTCCTCAACTTATGACCACAATTAAAGCCAGAATCTGCATTGTTAAGTAAAGCAGTTGTTAAGTGTATCCTGCTTGCTTTTACAACCCCTTTTTTTGCCACAGCTGTCAAGCTGTAGTTCATTGCAGTTAACTGAGTCACATGGTCATTAAACAAATCCAGCTTCCCCCACTGACTTTGCTTGTCAGAAGCTGGCTGGGAAAGTCGCGAATGGTGTTCACATGACCCTGGGACACTGCGACCATTGTAAATACATGCCAAGCATTCAAATTTCTTACTAGTGAGTTCTTTAGGTAAGGTCTCTGAATTTCCTTTTTCAAGGCTGTGTGCATGATGGGCTAACTATCCATTTCTTTGACGAGTTTGTAATGTCCTTTCCCATCTCCTGGTTGTTTGTCTCAATAAATACGCCTTTCCCTTTCTCAGCCTCAGAGCAATTTCTTGTACCATTTTTTCCCTACAAAAATAGCAAGAAGAAATAATAGCTTCCCTATTCACTTACTGTCGTTTCCATAGGTTTACTCACAGAGGTAGAACTGAAAACTGCCATTCGGACTCTGTGTTGTATATTCATTGGTCTGTATGCCCATTATTGGCTGCTGCTTAATATCTCAGGATTTCAATCTAGCTGGTCTGCACTTGGCTGTATGTTGATTACCCGTGCTCTCCTCGCCCATGCATACATCCATGTCAATATCTTCCAGGTAAGACTATCATCCCTGTGTTGCATGAAGAAAACTATTAGCTTAGCATCTCTTGGCATAAGAATCCTGCATTGTAAAACTGCCCATGTTTTCCCTTTGAGTATATTCTGGTTGCCCAGATTTGCCCTGTGTCTGGATGCTGCTTATAAATGAAGTATGCCTTGCTACAGTGCATGTAGCTATGTTTTGCCATTATCCCTCAAGGCATCCCCAGGAACCATAATTTATTTAATTTTTAAATACTACTACTACTTTGCTGATATTAATAGATATTTTTATTTTAGATACATTTAATATAAAAGAGTGTTTATCTTTTAATATACACTACATCCTGGATTTTAGATTTTATATGTCAAATGCTAGTGAGGTTATTTTAAAAATGTATTTTAACTCTGTACTAAATTTTATTTGTCAATTATCAGTACTGGTCTTCGATCGCGCTAAATTGAATTGAACAATTGGGTGGGAAATTAAAGAGGTTGAGAAAGAGGACTTTAGAGATTCTTAAAAGATAACTGGAACAACTATTTTCAATGTTTATACTATTTTTAGCTATGTGGATGTGCTAAAGATTACACTGGGGCTATGGTCTTGTGCATAGTCATGTAAAAATAAGGATGTTTCTAGCTGTAGGCTTCTTAGAAGTAACATAATATTGGGCAATCATTTCATAATTCATTCTGTAAGAGGTATTTTTTGATTAAAAAATAGTGGGAAAACATGGAAAGTTTCAGATTGTCCTACAGAAATGTAATGAGATATAGTCTTACATAAACTTGGCGGGATTTGCTTCCAAGTATTTGATTGTATTTTTTTTTAATTAAATGCTGTAATAGTAGTAAAGTTGGAAGGGACCTTGGAGGTCATCTAGTCCAACCCCCTGCTCAGGCAGGAAACCCTACACCATTTCGGACAAATGGCTGTCCAGTCTCTTCTTAAAAACTTCCAGTGTTGGAGCATTTACTGTTTCTGGAGGCAGGCTATTCCACTGATTAATTGTTCTCACTGTCAGGAAGTTTCTCCTTAGTTCTAGGTTGCTTCTCTCCTTGATTAGTTTCCACCCGCTGCTTCTTGTCCTGCCTTCAGGTGCTTTGGAAAATAGCTTGATTCCCTCTTCTTTATGGCAGCCCCTGAGATATTGGAATACTGCTATCATGTCCCCCCTTATCCTTCTCTTCGTTAAACTAGACATACCCAATTCTGTATACTGAGTATTTGTCAGAAAGAGTCTAATTTGCATTTGGGGAACTTGCATCTTCAAATATTGCTGAATTCCCAGCGTCTGTCTCTACTGGCTGTGCTGGCTGAGATCAGTAACATGTAGAGGGCTATAGGTTTTCCATCTCTTGTTCATACTTCTTTGCTTTATATATGAGTTTTTTTCCAAATATTTCAAAGAGTGGAATCTATAACACTGCAAAAAAAAAAAATTGAACAAATCACTCAGATGAAATGTGGTGTGTAGTGGTTAGAATGCAGTATTGTATAGTGGTTAGAATGCAGTATTCTGACTGGCTCAACCTTCAGCCTTCCAACCTTCTGAGGTTGGCAAAATGAGGATCCAGATTGTTGGGGGCAATACGCTCACATCTGTAAACCACTCAGAGTGTGCTGTAAAGCACTATGGCATGGTATATAAGTCTAAGTTTTATTGCTATTTCACAGATAAAAAAAATCCTTCTTGGCTGACAGCATCGCTATCCCAAGAGTTTTAATTTCCTAATGTCCTAATAAATTAACATTTGTGGTTTATCTTATAGCATATTGGCCTACCCATGTTTTCACCTGATAAGAAGCCAAAACGAATCCACATGATGAGCTGTGGCGTTCTCAATTTGCCTCGAAATCCTCTGCTGGACTGGGTTTTTGGACACTCGATCATTAGTTGTCATGTGGAACATCATCTTTTCCCAGCTTTTTCTGATAACATGTGCCTGAAGGTGCGAGGTTGAATGGCAGATGGAATGGGCATTTGGAAGGGTAGGGTGGGGCAAAATAAATACCTGCTGAATGTTTACTTGTAAAGAGAAGGGTATGTATTTAAAAGGTGATGAGTTTCATGTAGGCCAAAATCCTAGCCCTCAACAACAGGGAAAAAAAAGTATGTTCTTGATCAGAAATTAGTTTTTATATAGTTTAGGCTTCTTTGAGATTGAAAGGGGACACTGGGCCAAAACTATACATCCTATAGACCTGAAATCATATTTTCTAAAGAATAAGCTTCATTTCTGAATGATAAGAAATATGTTTTACATTGCACATTCTAATTCTTCCTTCTATGGATCATATATACAGATAATTTAATTTTGCTTTATAGTACTTGACATAACAAAATTGTTGGTTTGTCTTCAAGAATTCTTTAAGTTCTCTTAAGGGAGCTAAAATGGCAGGTATCTCAGAGGCTGCTAAAGCATTCTGTCTATACTGTTCAATTAATACTTATTTCAGTTGTATATATATATATTGGGAAGCACGCAATCTGGCAAGGAGGAGGTCTCAAATGCAGGGTTAGCCTGGAGTCACTACATAACCACAAAAAGGCTATGATCAATTACCCTCCAAACACTTTTGAGCCTATTTCTTCCCAGGAGAAAGTTGCCAGGCTGGGGAAATTCCTGTATTATAGGCAGAACATAATAAAGTGATTAGTCTTGTTATCACCTGACAAGATTTTTTGCCATTTTTAGTGATCAGCAGGGTTTTTTACATTTGGCTCTGGGCCTATCCTAATGAAAAATAAACATTAGTGACTTCTGGTTCCGGATCGCGGTATGTGCAGACGTGCAATAAGACTTCTCTCTTCGCCGGCTGTTTTCCTTCTGCCGGTAGACCCTTAATTGGGTCAAAAAGTTACCCTGGAGGGGCGACTACTGTTGAGGTCCTCATCGACTATGGAAGAGCGGCAGCTCCTTCAGCAGTCCGAGATTGCTCCTTGGGGCCGACGGAGAAAAGATTGGCCAGTAAAATGGCCGATCACTTTGCTGCTGTAACCAGAAGTCAGAAGAACATCTAAGCGCAAAGAACCACCATGGTTGATCTGGGCGAGACTTTTTTTTTCTCCTCTCTTAGCCCTTTTCTCTTTTTTGTTTCCTGTAAAAAGCATTTTTGGAATTATTTCCCTGCTTTAAGACAGCGGCATTTGTTAGTGCGGGAATAGAAGCTTTGAAATGGAATGAAAATTAATTTCAATTGACTATTTTTTATTTCTATTTACTTTGGGATCTTGAAAATTTTTCTATTATTGAATTTTATTACTGGATTTAGTTTTTATGTGAAGAATATTTTTTTTTTCTGATTTTGTCAACCTCATTTTTGGTGTCTGGGAACAGATTTTACAGTCTACTGGGGACACCTTGTGGAGAAATCTAAAATTGCAACTGTCTTTTTTCTCTGTCTGATGCTGAGATTGGCTTTGACCTTCAGATCATCATAAAAGGGAAAAGACAAAGAAATTTAACAGCTGTTAAATTTGTGGGGATGGACACTGGCTAAATGTTATTAAATACAGCCTCCACTAAAAGATAACAGGACTGTTTCTAGTTACTATTGAAATGGAGAAACCCTATTTACAACTCAACTGTAAACTTATATTGGAAAAAATTTATGAAGCCACTGAGCAAGTATGTCTGCAAATAAAAGAGAGTACCACAGAAATAAAAAACAGAAACTCTACTTCAAATTTACAAACTGACCTTCAGATCTCATCTGACTATTCTACAGACCAAAAAATAACAGAAGAGGAATTAATCAACATTAAAGAAGATTCTATCTCATTCTATGTACAACCTATTGATAACCAACTACTAACCACAAAACTGGACATAATTGAGTGTCTTATTCAGCAGATTCAAATGTCGAGATTTGAATTTTTAAAACAACAAGGGATTATCTACAAAGGAATCAGGTCTCTAAAACAGAGGAGGGGATGTTCTTCCTTGACTCAAATGATACCACAAGGAACAAAGAGAGACTTATTTGTTGATATAGAGGCTTTGTTATGCTTGGCACAAAAAGAAAGCTAAAATAAGATTTAAGAGTGTGACCTAAAACTGTACACAATTGGTTTAAAAGTCTTTTTAGACACAGATTGATTCAAGATTTAAGATTGCTAAATAAGACGGTAGAGATCCTGATTGAATAAGGATTAATTAAATATGTGAACTTAGTGAGATGTTTTTCTTTTTTTGTATTAATATGTTTGTAGAGGATATAACAATTATTTGGATCGGATTTAAATTTTACTGAGTGGGTTAAAAGAGTTTTACATAGATATTGATTGATTGATAGATTATAGATTTAAAATAGAGTAGAAATGTATTTTTTGGAGTAATATTCTTGTTTTAAGGAAGGATAGTTATTTTGTAATGAAAGGAGAATGAGAAGGATCTTTGATAAAAGAAGTAATGATATTAATAAATGAGTCACTGATTATGTTAAGGAAAAAGGGAAAGGAGAGACACCTGAAGTGTTAACAATATGTTTATCTAAATTAAATTGGAATATGGTAATTGTAAATAGTAAAGCTCAATACAGGATCTGGATTTATACAGATGAAATGTTATTGATGATTCTTTTGATTGATTGAACGTTATTGAAAAATACATTAATTTGAATATATTATATTATTTGAGGGAATAAAGAGGGAGTTTTTAATGATTTAATTTGAATTACATATGTATGATTTTGCTTTTGGATAATTGATTATCCTGCTACCACATTGTTTCTCAAGCACCTGGTTGTAAAAAGAAAAAAAATCAATAAAACTTGTTTAAAAAAAATAAAAATAAACAGTATTTACTATAATACTAACCTTATCTTTCCTTTATATTTCAGATAAAACCTGTGGTTTCTCAGTATTTGAAAAAGAAGAAATTACAATACAATGAGGATTCTTACTGGTCACGCTTGAAGCTATTCCTGGACAAATATGAAGAACTGATGGTCCATGCACCTCCTATTTCTGAACTTGTGGGGATTCAGTAATGGTACTTTTATGGCTAGAGCTAGGGCCTTAAGACAGCATGGTCTCTTTTTCCAAGATCAATGCATTTAAAGTCTAAGTTAAGTTAGACCTTTTAAGTTTAAGTTTTAGGAAAATCAGTATATTATCAGCAAAAGTTATCTTTAGATACCGGATGCAACTGCCCAGTAATGGGTCATAGGCAGGGGTCGGCAACCTTAAACACTCAAAGAGCCATTTGGACCTGTTTCCCACAGAAAACACCGGGAGCCACAAAACCCTGCTGCTTCCCCCCCAGCACTCCACTGCTCCACCGCTGCTGTTGCTTGCCCCCCCCGGTGAAGAGCGCCCTGCCACTTCTGCTTTCTCCCCCTACCTCACCCACCCTGCTGCCACTTTTCCTCCTACCTCCCCCACATGGAGCGCCCTGCCGCTGCTTTTTCCTACCTTCCTGTGCTGCTGTTGCTTTCTTGCCTGACCTCCGCTACGTGGAGCGCCCTGCCACCACTTTTCCCTATCTCCCCCACATGGAGCGCCCTGCCACTTTTTCCTTCTACTTCTCCTGCACAGAGGACCCTGCCACTGCTGCTTTCTCGCCCTACTTCCTCCATGCGGAGTGCCCTGCTGCCACTTTTCCCTACCTCCCCTGCACGGAGCGCCCTGCCATTGCTTTTCCCTACCTCCCCCGTGTGGAGCGCTGTGCTGCAGCTTTTCCCTGCTACCTCTCCCGTGCTGAGTGCCCTGCCGCCGCTTTTCCCTACCTTCCCTGTGTGGAGCGCCCTGCTGTCGTTTTTCCCTACCTCCCCCACGTGAAGCATTGTGCTGCCACTTTTCCTTACCTCCCCCGCGCGGAGCGCCCTGCTGCTGCTTTTCCCTCCTACCTCCCCCACGCCAAGCACCCTGCCACTGTGGCTTTCCCCAGCAGTGAAGGTGGAGTTTGGGAGGCAGCGGCAGGGTGTAGCCCAGGCATGGCCCAGCAGCAAAGCTTGTCCTCCCCACTCAAGGCGCAGCAGCAGGATTGCTTTCAATAAGGCGGGCACACATGAGCGAGCAGTGCACCTAGTTCTTATTGTTTGAGAGCAATCCTGCCGCTGCACTTCTGCTTTCTTCAACCATGATCCCCCCTCCCAGCCAGCCAGGTCTTCATGAATTTAACATTGGGATAAAAATGTTTCACCACCTTTATCAATATTACAAAGAAAAGTTTAAGAACTTTAATTGTGCTTGATCAGGTTCACTCATTTTCCTTCAGTCACTCTCTTTGCATCTCTTACCCACTTCATCACCCTCTGAAAGCCAAAGGACTCACAACGATCCACACTCATAGAGAGGATCCTGCAATCTAATTTGATCTGTCATAACCTTTCATTCCAGCATGATTATAGTAGGTTATTCTCTATCTCTCTTTGTCTCCGTCTCTCTCTGTCTCTCTCTCTCTCTCATTACAATGTTCTCTGTTTTTCAAATATTTTTATTAAGGATTATAAATGAAAAGAGTAAAAGCTGATGCAAACTATAAAACCTACAAATAGAAAAATAGAAAAGAAAAAAATTGCGGGGAAAAAAAAAAGGACAGGAGAAAGAGGGGAAAAAACCTTTTTTCCTTCATCCCGACAGGTAAAAACAATTTTAGTAGCTTATCTACCATCTTTAAATACAGCATAATTATACCTCATCTCTTAATTAAAAAAAAGATCAAAATATTTCATTAAACGTTCTTTACTAAAAGTCCAGTAAGGACAACCACATATATTCTCTCTCTCTTCCCCCCCTCTCTCCCTCTCCCTCCCTCTCTCTTTTTCTCTCTCTCCAATATATCATTTAGCTCTGATAAAATAAGCCACATTTATAAGTTTTCCCTGAATTTTTAAAGATAGTGATTAACTGCTTCAAAAAAACAAAAACAAAAAACTAGCTTGCTGTTCATCTGTTTCAAAACAAAAATCTTTCAAAATTTAAAAGAAAATATTTTGTAAATCCAATAATCCTTTATTTATCATTTCTCATGCAGTTTTTTTGCTCTCAATAAGGTGAGCAATCCCGCTGCTGCACCTCTGCTTTCTTCAACCATGATCACCCCTGCCCAGCCAGCCAGCCACCATCGCCGATCTTCTCCTCATGATCCCACCTCCCCAGCCAGCCAGCCACCATCGCTGACCTACTCCTCACCTGGCCAGCTGGCCTCACGCTCTCCTCCTCCTCATCCTCTGCACTCAATCGGTTGCTAGCGGCTTGGGTGGCTCTGCTCCGTCCAAGTTGAAGAAAGCGGAGGCATAACAGAAAGCAACTTTCCCAAAAAGAAAAGAAGTTTGTGGGCAGTCCCACAAACAAAAGAAGTGGGATTAAAAAAGTTCAATCAATCAATTCCAACTTCACGAGATCTTTTTTTTCCACAAGAAGTTGGAATTGACTGATTGAACTTTTTTAGTCCCATTTTTTTTTTGTGGGACTGCAAATGGTGGAGGAGGACTGGGAAACGCAGTAGAGGGATGAAAGAGCCGCATGCGGCTCCAGAGCTGTGGGTTGCCGACCCCTGGTCATAGGGGAAAATCAATAGTTCCAATTAATTCAATTGTACTATCTTTGATTTTCTTCTCTGCTGTAATAATCTTTGCACGCTGATACATTTAACAGATCATTTCAGATTCTGCTATTCTGCAACCTGAGGGAGGGAAATCTAAGGGCTATTTAATGTTCTTCCTCTTAAAATAACTTAAAAGTTAAAAGACATTTGTACAGTGCAAACTTTGACAAGTTCTATGCAGCAATTTCTTTTCCTCATCTTGGTTGTATGACAGCAAAGACATAGATCGCTGTTACTAACTGATCTGAAATCCACAGTGGAGAAAATATAAGCCACCTTTATAATATATATATATATATATATATATATATATACAACAGTCTTCCTCAACTAGTGCCTTCTAAATTTGCAGAGACTCCAATTAAAGAATGCCAGCTAGCATGGGAATTTAACGTCTGGAAAGAAACTTATTAGAGAAGCTTTTCCTAGAGGTTAGAAGAAACATGAAAAAACTGCATTGATTGTTGGACTGATATTCACATAGCTTTAATTACATGAGAATTTATATGGTAAAGAGATACTTCTTGCTAGATGCTTCACAGATTTTCATTTTTAGCGCACCCTCAGCAGGTAGCAATCCTCATCCTACTTTGACTGTTTTGAGAAGATAAGGAAGGTCAGGCCTAGCCTGTGCTTAGCAGACCTCCACAGAATATCAGGTTTGAAGGCCAAACTGGGAAGTCAAAAACCACTCTGGAAGATGGGAGCAACAAGCCACTTCTGTACTGATGCTAACTCCCCACTCCCTATACATGGAGCCATTATTCAGTTGCCAAGACTTGAGCTTGACCTGAAGAAGACTTTACTAAAATTTCTCCTCCTGCAAGAAGAAAAGAAAAGCTTATTCAAAATATGATGCTGAATGGTGGAAGGAAATATAATTGTCATTACCAGTGGACCTTTTATTAACAAAAATGATGCAAAGAAAGACTCTATAAAAGTTCCTGCTGATGAATATGGTGATATGTATGCAAAGAGAGAATAAATTATTATCCAATCCACTTGTGCGAAGGGAGTGTGGTTTAATAAAAGGAACAATGTAAAAGCAAGCAGATTAGGCAGGCAATAGCAGCAGGTAGATATATTTGAAAAAATATTTTGAAATAAACTCTGACTGACTTGATGAGCTGGCATGGCCATCATGTTCTTTAGCTGGATAAAACCAGCTCTTATCTGTTCTCAAGGTAAAAATGTTTATGTCTACACATTTATGATACAACATATCCAAACTATTTATTATTTACATGAAAATTAGCTAAACAATAATGTGCAATGGAAACCTCCATATTCTGCTCTTGTTTCTGTCTAAGGGCCCATTTTTCCCATTCTGGAGAAGTGTCCACTGTTTATTATTTCTGGAATGAAGGTGCATAGTATTGGCTTTCTCCAACTTGTTACAGTAGTAGTTTCACTTGAGATATATTCCTAACATTGCTGAAATATGTCTATCAGGAGAACATTCTTTTCAAATATGTGTTTCCATCGTTTACATAATTAATTTCTGAAAGCTTGTTTAGGAAAATCTGGAATATTACTAAGAATGGAAGGGTAATTGTGCAGCAAGAAGAATAACTTAAAGGTGAGCTATGGGGAACAAAGAGAGATCACTTGACTATTCTGAAAAAATGTATCTCTGAGTGGATACTTAGTATATGAACATATAGTATGTAACTGTACAAGAAAAATAAAAGTCTCCTTTAAGTTAAGTTTTAATTCCCAGATGGCTTTATGCAGATATCTCTCTAGCTTTGTTGGCAACGATACAGAAGTGATTTTCCAATACCTTTTTACTGAATGCTCTGATTTTTCAGCTTAGCTTACAGCCTCCCATATGCCGGAAGAATCCTACCCTAATGTTAAAAGGGCCTTACCCTACTTGATTGACTAGGACTGTAGATGTGTTTACTTTAACTCCCAGATGTCCCTCAGCCAGCTTGTTGGCTGGGGAATTCCTGAACTTGAATTCCATACGTCTTAACCTTGCTGAAGTTGAGAAATGGTGACTTAGGGTGTTAGATAAATTTAGTCAGCGTGTCGGGTGAATCAGGCAAGTTTAGCATAGGTGTGTTAACTTTAGACAATTATGGTTTATTGAACAAATATGCTTAACAAATCTGGTTTAAGTGTAAACTCAGCTGAGTGGATAGAAAATGAACATATATCATAATTGATGTGTCTAGTTCATGACAAATGAAACAACAGGCATTAAAAGTCCTCAAAGAAGAATCTATCTCTAAACATTCAGATACATTTCTGGAAACCAGTCTGACCTGTAAAAGCACATACTTTTTTTTTTATTGAAACCTTTGATTTGATAGGCACAGAGTGAAACTAAAGCTTTACAATTTCAGACTGGAAGTGAACACCACATAGGGAATAATCCTGAGTTGGCAGAGTGAGGTTGGTTGGTTTAATTTCCTGTCTATCTACATTTACTAATTTCATTATTAACATGATTATCAACATGAATGTTTTCTGTGATTTGCAAGGCTCTAGAGCCGTGGTGGCGAACGTATGGCACGGGTGCCAGAGGCGGCACTCAGAGCCCTCTCTGTGGGCACGCGCACCATCGCCCCAGTCCTAGGCCTTCATCTGGGTTTTATAAAACCTTTTCGCTTTAGGCCTCTGCTGCCGTGTGCAAAAAAAAAAAAGGTTCAATCAATTTCAACTTCTCGCGGGAAAAAAAAAGATCTAGCAAAGTTGGAATTGATTGGTTGAACTTTTTAGTCCCACCCAGTCTGCCGTTACCACCGCAGCCACGCTCACCCAATGGGCCACACCCACCCAATTGGCCACACCCACCCGGCACCCGATGATGCATAAGTGGGTTTTGGGTTGCAGTTTGGGCACTCGGTCTCTAAAAGGTTCGCCATCACTGCTCTAGAGGCTTCCCAGTCTAGCAGCACAAAGATTATAAAGGGGAATATTATTCAACCCAGCTTTACTCGGATTTTATTTGTGTGAAAAATTAATTCCACTGCCACATGCTGCTAACATAATTACAGTTCAGTTTGGAAACAGTAAGTTTGACCAGCTTTATCCTCTCTAGAATAAAGCATAAGTATGTGCATATTTATTTAATTTAGCTAGAAGCAAATACTTTTAGGACCAATGGGTTTATTCATAGCTAATTTATAGTATAATATAGTTATACCCTTAACAAATACTGAAGTGGAATAAAGTATACTCTGTGATTGGGTTCAGAAGTCATCCTAAGCTAAAATGGGGTTTACTTGAAGGGAGCTGAGCATTATTTAATAAATTATAGTAAAATAAATGGAATCTTAACTAAGACTACTATACAGAGCTGCAAAAATCTAGACTGCCACAAGATGGTAGCAAAGAGATGTAGAAAACTCTAATTCTTTCTGCCATTTAGTGGTTGCTTGTATTTTTGCAGTCCACATATGGTAGTCCTAGTTTAACATAAAAGATATATCCACTGACATAATACATATACATATACATATACATACATACATACATACATACATACATACATACATATATATATATGTAGGTCTTTGGTTGTTCGGGTTTTCTCCCGCGTAAAATTGGAAGTGTCTTGGCGACGTTTCGACGAAGTCCCATTCGTCATCTTCAGGCTGGTGTTTTCAGCTTCGTGCAGCAATTGCTGCTTGAAGCACGAAGCTGAAAACACCAGCCTGAAGATGACGAATGGGACTTCGTCGAAACGTCGCCAAGACACTTCCAATTTTACGCGGGAAAAAACCCGAACAACCAAAGACCTACATACAAACACTCGCGAAAACCTCAGAAAACATATATATATATATATATATATATATATATATAGTCAATTACCAATAAAATGTGAACACCAGGAATATAATAAACTACAAAAGTTTAATACCATCACCGATCACCAAGCTTTCGTCAGATACTTCTGACATCATCAGGGTTAATGCTGGTCTGTGGGAGAGTGCCTTTATAGGTGAGCCGTCATTTGCACACGGCTCCTAGATCTTGTCGTAGGTCCTAATTGATTTAACTGCTTTTTAATTATGGCTTCCATACTGATGACTCCTCTTTTCTTGCTTTTACTGCTTGTGGGTGTGTCATTATTCCCCTCTACCTCCCACTGTCTTGAATTAGGGAGGTTCTTTCCACCCCTTTTTTGGTCATTCGTATCTCTAAGTTGTTCCCTCTTCACACCTCCGTGTCTCCTACCTTCCTCCTTCTTCTGATCTTTACTTGCTTCCCAATTGTCATCCCTCATTCTATGAGTATGCAACAACTAGAGCACGAAGCGATGGCCCAATACCAACCTAAATTCTGGGCCCGCTACGTTGACGACACATTCGTGGTCATCAAAAGGGAGCATAAAGCTAACTTTGTGGGCATACTCAACTCGGTATACCCTGACATTCAGTTCACGGAGGAGGAGGAGAACCAGGGGAGACTGGCGTTCTTGGACGTAATGGTCCACCGCCAGCCAGATGGGACCCTGGGCATGAGGGTATACCGAAAACCTACGCATACAGATAGAATTCTGCATTATGCTAGTAACCATCCTATGACCCACAAAGTTAGCTGCATAAGAACGCTATTTAGACGAATAGACTCCCATTGCAGCACAGCCAAAGTTAAAAGGGAAGAAAGAAACCATCTCTTCCAAATATGCAGATGCAATGGTTACCCTACCAGGTTCATCAGACCCTGTAGTATACCACCCAAACCCCGGAGGAGCTTGGATATGGAGGAACCCCCGTCACAGATAACCCGTGTCACCCTTACATCAGCAATGTTTCAGAAGCAACAGCCAGGTTGTTAGCCCCCCCATAAAGTGAGGGTGGCTCACAGACCTGATCAAACTTTAAGATCCAAAGTGATGCGCCCAAAGGACCCGCTCCCCAACACTGAAAAATCGGCAATCATATATAAAATCAACTGCAAAGATTGCCCGTTAATTATGTTGGAGAGACTTCAAAAAGAATGAAGACTAGGGTCCATGAGCATAAATTAGCAGTAAAAAGGGAGGAACAGCACTCCCAAGTATGGGCGCACATGGCAGATTCTGGACATTGCTTTGACTTTGATAATGTATGCATCCTGTCCGGTGACAACACGAAAGAGGGCCGGTTACTAAAAGAGGCATGGCTCTCTGACAGGGACTCTGTCAACCGGCACATCAATTTGTGCCCGGCACATCTCACCTTAAGAGCCTAGAGCAGGAGAGACCGCCCACCCCTAAGGAGACACCCTGCGACAGTACCACGTAACCCTAGGGAAGAAGTTATGGAGGGGATGAATTTTTGCCCCCCACAACAGCAACGGCCCATGGACATTCAGGAGAATAATCAACGATTGAGGGACTTCTCCCCCCTTGCTCCAGGACCATGCACACGCTCCCAGACAGTGAGAGAACAGTTGCATGATGAGAAAGAGGCAATTAGCCAACGAACAATCATTCCCGACCCCCTGAAACCCAAAACAGCGATGATCCAGCAGCATCAAGAAAGAAGGAGGATGGGACCGGCTTGCCCTGTGACGACAGTCCATCAACGGAAACAACAGAGCGCCAATCGGAACGCCCGAGAGGATATAGAGATCGAGAGCAGTGTGAATGGGGGGGGGAAATGCAAATAAGGGTAGAACGTGATAGAAACTGTAAAAAAGATCACTGTGTTGATGGAGGGAGGGATACAAAGGAACCAGGCATACGTATTCAAAAAAAGGAGGGCACACAAGGGCTTGTATGAGGAGGAAGGAGATATTCAAGGGATTCAATCTGACATGGAGTCTGAGAACATTGATAATGGGGTGAAAGAGCAAGTAGATGTCAGACGGAATGGCAACGGCAGAAACGGAGTTTATGCAGCCAAAGAGAGGGAAATGGAAAGCAAGGGATGGGGAGAAAGGCTGAGAGTGCGCCTCCATAGAATGAGGGATGACAATTGGGGAGCAAGTAAAGATCAGAAGAAGGAGGAAGGTAGGAGACACGGAGGTGTGAAGAGGGAACAACTTAGAGATACGAATGACCAAAAAAGGGGAGGAAAGAACCTCCCTAATTCAAGACAGTGGGAGGTAGAGGGGAATAATGACACACCCACAAGCAGTAAAAGCAAGAAAAGAGGAGTCATCAGTATGGAAGCCGTAATT